TGAAAATGACACTTGCTCCTTCTTTCAGAATCAATGGTGGACTTCTTCAAGAAGAAATACAAAAATATAATACTTATGGTGATTTATTATATGACCAGTTTGTTACCTTTTATTGTGTATTATCAATAATAATATTATAGATCAGTTTGTATTCGTATAGAAGAAAAAATAAGAACTTTAAGAAATGTCCAAAAAAATAATGAGCAATTGAGTGATTCAGAAAAGAAAAATATTATTTATATCAACCAAGCATTTAAAGAATTCAATGAACAATCCCAATTCTTAGAACAATGGAAAAATTCAAACTCATTAACTTGTCCAATTGCTCATTTAGATTTATCTTTAGTAAGTAATCTTGTAAGTAACCTCATTTAACCATCTCATTACAACTAATTTCATTGAATTATCATATTAAATGCATTTTATACATTAATTGATTTCTTTTCCCTTAGTTATCAATTTTAAATTGATGAATAAACATTTTCTTGTAGTGTAAAGTCAACAAGTATTTTCATTAATATATTTACTATTTCATAATAATAAAAATATTATAATTTTATTATATAGAAAAAACCTAGAACTTAAAAGTGTTAAGTCCAGATTAATGGCTAGAGGTCTTCATGCTGCTCGTAAAATGCTTGCTCAAAGAAGAGCCAATAAATGGGCTGATAAAGAATGGAAAAAAGGAAAACTTGTAACCAGATATAAGTGTAACCCACTTGGAACTGCTTCACATGCCAAAGGACTTGTTCAAGAAAAACTTGGTATTGAAACTAAACAACCAAACTCAGGTATTAGAAAATGTGTCAGAGTTAGATTGTTGAAAAACGGTAAAAAAATCACTGCTTTTGTTCCACGTGATGGTTCACTTAACTATGTCAATGAAAACGATGAAGTTTTAATTTCTGGTTTCGGTAGAAGAGGACACGCTGTTGGAGATATTCCAGGTGTTAGATTCAAAGTTGTCTGTGTTGCTGGTGTTTCCCTCTGGGGTCTCTGGACTAACAAGAAACAAAAACCACACGCTTAATCGAGTGATATTGTGACTTCAATTTTGAATAACGTTTGATTTTTTTTTAATTTAATTTTCTTTTTTGAGTTATTTGAAACTTAATAAAATAATAAATATTTCAATGTCAATTGAATGCCAAAAAATGTTATGTAATATTTCAACAATTGACTCTGGTCAAACGTCTATTAAAGAGTCATTGAATCAAAAGTACCAACGTCCATGTGTTTGTAATTTATTTTATTAAATTAAAAGAGATAGAAGTTTAAAGATAGTGGTTTTGGGGAGTTTCAAAGTTTGGAATTGAACAAAGTGATATTTCTTTTGTTTCGACGTTATCAGTAACAAAGACAGCCGTTACGTGTGATGTTATTGGAGAAAAAGAAATATCATCAGCCATAGAAATAAGTTATATTATTTTTGAAGAGACATTACCTATTTATTCAGACTCAGTAGAAATAACAAATTGTAAACCAGTAAAAATTAATTTTAATTCAACGTTTAAAGAAGTTCCTAAAGTAATAATTAGTATTCAATCAATTAGTGCTTTAAATTTATCAAATTTAACACTTAACGTTAGTAAAATAAATAAGAATTTTTGTCAAGTTCAAGCACAATTTAATAATTATGATATTCAAAGTCTTACTATTGGAATACTTGCATACGATATTTCTTTTTCAGAAAATAGAATAACAGAATTGTTAATAAATAATAATAATATTGAAGAAACAAAACAAATTCAAATTATGTCAGGTTCTTTTAAATATTCAAATTCAAATGTAAATGAAATTTTATTAAAAAATTATGCTATTCTTCCACAAGTAGTAAGTTTTATTACTGGATTTTCTTCAACAACAATTAATACTTGGCCAATTCAAATAACTACATATCCAAAAGATGCAATAACGATTTGTATTAAAGCTGTAAGTGGTAGTGATTGTGATTGGATAAGTTCTGATTACTTTATTTGTTCTACACTGGACCGTGAAGAAGTTAATCAATTTCATGAAACTAATTTTCAAATTAATGGACTTTTTGTTGGTGTAGGAGGTGTAAATAATCATCAAAATATTATAAAACCCAAATGTAAAGACATTTTAAATGAAACTGATGACAATATTTGTTGGAACTGTAAAAAACATTATATTAATACTATATTTAATTGTGGACATTGTTGTTATTGTTATTGTTGTTCAGAATCTCTTGGCTTAACTTTTAAATGTCCAAAATGCAATAAAATAAATGTTAAACCTGTTTATTTTGAAGAATTCAAATTTGAATAAATTAATTAAATTATTCTAATAACCAATTTTTATAATTTTCAAAATTTAATATTAATGAACCACCAATAATTACTTTAAATTCTTTATTTTTTTGACACCAATCAAAAATATATTTTTCTTCAACCATAGAAATACCACCTTCTATCCAAATAAGAATTGTATTCCAATTATTTATATTTCCATATTCAAGTTTAAGATATTTTAAAATATTAAATTTTGTTTCTTTTATATTTTTTATTGTATTAAGTAATTCAATAATTGGTGGTGTATATTGTGTATTAATTAATAATGAATTAATTATATCATAATATGAATTAAATGGAAGAATTCTATGTTCTTCATTACACTTTTTTGTTATTTGTTGGTTATATTTTGAATTTCCATTTTTATTTAAAATACATTTCATTATTTCTATTCTTTCATCTTTTAAATCATTTAATTTAATTGAATTATGAAGATTAAAATATTCACCAAATTTTTCTTTTGTTTGATACTTTTTGATCATTTCTTTTGATAATTCAAATATGATTTTATATAAAGCATCTACTTCTTCTTTTTCGATATCTAATTTATTTTTAGAAAGTGAAGTTTGATTAAGTTCAACATCATCTCCACTATGTAATATATTATTTTTAATTTTTTCTTTTAATCCTTCCCAAGAACAATCAATTTCATATTTCTTTTGAGAAATATATTCTTGAGCATCAACAAAATTCATTTCATAAATATTTTTTGAATGAATTTGTTCGAAATTAAAATAAAAGTTTTGATTAATAAAATATGTTAGAAGATTTATTTGGTTATATTCTATTAATTGACCAAATACTGAAGTATTTGGAATTAATGGTGTATATCCATCAAAACATCTATCAAGAACAATAAGTAATGACGTATTATCTGGTTGATTTATTTCTTTTTTTAATTGTTCAACAAGTAATTTATTATTGATAGTAATTGAATTGGTTTGTAAAAGAATTGATGGATGTAAATTGTTTATTTGAAGAAAAGAAGATAATGTGTTATATGAATGATTTTTTTCTAATGAAATAAAACAATTTGGAGTAATAAATTTAAATTGAAATGGAATTGAACAAAGTTTATAAACACAATGAAAAATATCAGAAGTTGCAATTTTTTGAATTATTAAATCATTAATTGATTCATTAAATACTAAAACTATCAATTCAAGAGTTTTTAAATATTACAGTTAAATAAATAAACAAACAAATGATATATTTATTATATGATGGATTTTGAAGGTGATTACATAAATCATTTACACTTTTTTTACTAGGAGAAATAAAAATTAATGCATTTGCATATGTTCTATTATCATACGTTGATTTTAATGAAGTTGTTGTCATAATTCCAAACTGAATTTTATCAGTATGACTAATAAATGAAACAATAGACATCTAATTTTAAATTTTTTTGTAGTAAAATTATTGAAATATTTAAACAAACAGTTGTCTCATCAATTAAAAAATAAATTGGCTTTCTTTCTTCTTCAACTTCATTGAATGATTTTGTAAAATTTAATAGAATCTTTTTTATATAAGAAATATCCATTAAATGATATTTATTTTAAAATTATTTTTTAGTTCTTTAAATAACATAAATATTCATAATATTTGTTTTTCTCTTTTTAGTTGATTTATTTTTAGGGTTGATCAAAAACAAAGGAAAGTGAAGAACTAAAAAACAAAAATTTAATGGAAGTTGAATTAACTGTGCAAGAAGAAACAATTAAATTTATTTCAATAAATGAAGTATTTGGTAAATTTATAGTTGATCCACAAACATGGAAATTAGATAGTGAAATCGCAATGACATTTTTAATGTCAGATAAAACAGTTGAATTTGTTAAAAATCGAGGAATTATATTACATGTTAATCGTTTAATCATTGATTCAATTTCATTAGAACTTCAAACAAAAGATGATTCTCCTGCATTTCAATGTCATTTTACACAAACTCCTGGTATTCTTGATAATGAATATCCACTCATTGATTCTCCTACTTATTCAACATTCGAAGAAATGTATAAAGGAAGTATTGGTCAGTTAACGATTTTTTGGCCAGAAAAACTTTTATTAAATTCTGAAAATAGTTATGTGTTAAGAATAGTATATAAAACAAATAAAGGAAGTGGGTTATATACAACTCCTTCAAGTTTAGTTACATTAGATGGTTATTTAGATACTGCCTCTTGGATGCCATGTATTTGTAATTCTTTTCAGTTAGTATGTTATGAAATGACTTTTATTGTTCCAGATCCTTATGTAGTCATTGCTACAGGAAATCCAAGTGTTCCGATTATTAATGGTGAGATGAGAACATTCAATTATACATTAAAGACACGTATTCCTATTAAGTCATATGGCTTTATTATTGCACCTGTCAAATTATTACCAATAGAATCATCATTAAAAGTTGGTTATTTTTCTGGTCCAGTTGAAGAAAAGAGAGCACAATACACATTAACTCAAATGGTTCCTAAAGCAATTCAATGTATTAAGAAATATACATCAACTCCAGAACCATTCTCTCTTTCAGTGGTTATTTCTAAAGAATTACCTCATTCTCAAACAATGTCATTTGCTGGTCTTATTATTATATCAACAGAACTTTTATATCTTGAAGACAATGCTGATAGATATAGACATGTTAGTTTTGAGATTGGAAGAGTAGTTGCATCACAATGGGTTGGGCATTATATTATTCCAAATAGAATTAGTGATGAATGGATAACATTAGGTATTCGTGATTATTTGGCAGAACAATTTATTAAAACAGTAAATGGACAAAATTATGTAAAATATAAATCTATTGAGTCACAAGAATTAGTATTATACCAAAAATGGGGAGAACCATTACATACAGAAGAAAGAAAAGTATTTGCTGAGATGGAAATTAATGACCATTTTCGAAGAAAGGTTGACATAGCAATGGGAGTAATGGAAAATAATTTAGGAAAGGATAGAATGAAAAAGTTAGTTTGTGAAAAGGTTTTAAATAATGGAGAACCAATGGATGATCTCAAAAGAAATATTAAAACAAGACAATTTGTAAAAGAATTACAAACACAAAACTCTTCTTTAATGAAACAATTTGAAGAACGATTAGTAAATGGAACAGGATACAGTAAAATTGCTGTTAGTTTTACGTTTACTCAAAGAACTATTCAAACAGATTTTAAAATTCATCAGTCTAGAAAAGAAAAAGGATACAATGTTGTTCCAGTTAGAATTCATGAAGTTGAACAAACTATTGAAGATACTATTGAATTAACTGGAGAAGAAACAAGTAAAAGTATTCCATGTCATTCAAGAATTAGAAAACAAAGAAAAAGGCCTATTAAAACTGATACTGGAGAAACAATTATGTATGATTTAGATTCAAGAGATTGTAAACGAAGTGGTCAAGGGGAAACTGATGTACCAATTCTTTATATTGAAATTGATCCAGATAATGATTATCCAAGAAGAATTAAAAGAGATAAACAATCATTTCAAGAATATATGTGGTTAACACAACTAGAATTTGTTAGAACAGTTAGAGGTCAATTAGTAACAATTGAAGGATTAGAAAAATGTAAAAGTGAAAAAGGAATTAATGCTTTATTTGATTTTTTGATTAATAATCATCGTTGTTTCTATAAAGTTCAAATTGCTGCTGCACATGCTATTGCTCGTATGTCATGTGAACAAAATGGATATTTAGGATTTCATTTATTAAAACAATTTTATAAAACAAACTATTATGAAGAAAGTGTTGGAGTTATACCATTAGACTTTTCTAATCCATTAAGATATGAATTACAAAAAGGGTTAATAGGAGCTTTTGCTGATGTTAGAGTTCATAATCTTACAGATAAAATTAACTGGGGAGGATTATATGATGATAAACATAAAAATAGAATTGATGCATTATCACTACCATCATATCCTGAAGCAGTTAGTTTATTATTAGAAATTGCAGAAAATTCAACAAATGAAAGAAATAAATATCAAGATGGAGTTTTTATTAAATCAGTTATTGGTGCTTTAGGAAAAATTGTTAGTTCTAAAGAAGAAGATAATGAACGAATTACTAAATTCCTTAAAAGAGAATTAAATAAAGATAAAATTATTCCATCAGACAGAAATATTGTAACATTAGCTGTTATTAAAATGGCACCTGGGTTATGTGATTTATCATCACTTTGTAGTGTAGGTAATTTTTATGAAGTTCGTGTTGCAGCAATACGTGCTTTATTAAAGAGTGATCCACAACAAGGATTAATTACATTTGTTGAAACTCATGAACGAGGTGATAGTGGAAGAGTAAGATATGCCATATGTGAAATGGCATTAACATTAAAAAATTTTCCACCTCAAGACATTATATTTACAACATATTTTAGAGATTTAGGAAATCGTGTATTTAAAGTATTATGTAATCGTCATGACTATGTCAAAAATAAAATTATGTTAGCATTAGTATTTAAAAAGTGGTGGGGCGATTCTTTGGTTCAATCAATTATTCCTCCAATCGCACCAACAATAATTTAGTTTTTTATTTCTTTGTAAAAAACTCTCTTTTTATTTTACAAAACTTAAAAAGAAAAAGTTATGTTAAAAACAAGTGAAACCAACAACGAAACTAATTACATCGTTCAAGAAGAAGAAGAAAAAAGAGTTGAAGAACAAGAGGATTGGAAAAATATTATTGAAGAATGGCAAGAAGAAAAGAATGAAATTATTACAATAAATAAAGAACAAAATGAATTATTTTTTAGATATTTTTCATTAATACAGAATAGTGTTTATCATCGTTTTGCATTATTTCAAATTGAGGACTCAATTAAACAAGTTTCACATTCTCAAAATGAATACTTTGCATTGTTTTGGAGATGTATTAAAGAATATTGTGATGATAATTCAGAAATTAGAAATCCTAAAGCATTAGAAATTATTCCACTACAACTTCCTTCTTCAATTAAAATCAATTTTTCATTTGAGATTAAACAAATTAAAAATAAATTGATTGTAGAATTTAATTCATCTCCAATTCTTTTTCTTGATGGAGAATTTCCAGCTAATTGCTCTGAAAGACATAATTCAATTCAAAATATTTTTAATGGTGAATTGGCTGTATTAAATATTCCTATTCATAAAGAATTTGAAAGTTCAATTCAACTTCATTTAAAATCAAATTTAAAGTATGACATTCATTACGGTGGTTATGAATATCAAATTAAACACATGAATATTAATAATATGAAAGTAGGGGATATGTTTTTAACAATGCATTCAAATATGTATTACAATGTAGTTATTCATTCCTTTTTTAATGAAAATAATGCTTTTCAATTTGGTTCAAATGAAAAAAGTATGGTATATTATTCAAATCTTATCTTTAAATGTCATCAAATGAAAGCCTCTTCTTTGTACTTTGTTCTTGACGATATTGGAAATGAAAATTTGATTGAACAAGTTGTTTGTTGTTATCTCTTATTTTATTTAAAATATAAATCAATTAATAAATACTTAATTCAAATTGTTAGATGGTTGAAATGTTCACAAATATTAGGCAGTCTTTAATTAATGAAGGATTCACAACGTTAAAAACAATAGGATTCATTTGTTCTGAAGAGATAACATCTCAAAACACTTTAAAAACATTTTTTACATCAAAAATCCATATCCAATAATTCCTTTGTTGTTTTCAACCTCAATTTAATATCTGTCTTAGACATAATCTATTTTTCCTTTTATTTGTTAAAATATGAATATTTTTAATGTGCTACTATAAATAAATGAGTAACACAAGTACAGTTAATAATTACTTGGAAAGAAACTATGGTTATTGGTTTAGTTGAGAAGATTTATTATTTTAACTATTTCATATAGTATTTATCAGATACCATAACAATAAAATACTTCAAAACAGAATAATAATTAAATTATGTTCAAGACAAGTATCTTCTACTTTTTGTTCAGATGAAGTTACATCCAATTATTCACTCTTTAGAAAGATTTCTTCTTCTGGTTCATTTCTATTCCTATATCAATAGAGTTATCACATTATTTATTAGGTCTTTCATGTTTTGTTAAATATATTTTTCACTATTATTTCACATAGTATTTCTATTCCAACTCTTTTAATGACCTTCTTGATTCTTAATGACTATTATTCTTATTATAATTTTTGTCGTGACTTTTACCATTCTTTCTAGTTTCCTTGTTTTTCTAACAATTCTTGATAAATGTTAATCTTATCATAAATGCTATTCTTCATGACTATTTTACGCAATTATCATAAATATGATAATTGTGTATTTGTTATTTGAATTTCTGATATAAACATCTTATCTTTTATTAACCTTCACAGCTTCTTTATTCATAATTTCCATATTCTATACAATCATTATTATTATTGTTTATAATTGGTATCTCTTTCATAATAGATGATGATTTATCACTTTTCATTGTGTTTTTCTTACTCTATCACGACCTTCTTCATTTCTTTTTTACTTATTTGTATCATCTTCTTTGTATATTTATTAATTTCCATATTTTAATTATCATTTCATTGATTGTCAACTAACTGTTAAATTATGAAATTTCATTTAATCCTCTTCTTTTCCATTCATCTAAACAATGTCGATGGAATATATTCTTTAAATATTTAAAATCAATTCTTGTTGTTTTCTCTTCTTTCTTAAATATTTCTTTAATTACTTAATTATTTATTCTCTTTCAATATTTATAAAATCTATTCCTTTTTCTTTCTCATTCATTCTATTTAATTCACTTAATTATTTCATTCTTGTGAAACCTATTATTCTTCTAATGACCTTTAGTGCATTGTATTCTTCTGTTTTATTGTTTCTAATATTCTTATTGTTTAATATATTATAATTGTCTTCTTATGTATTTTTGATTTCTTCTTAATGTATTATTTAAGTTATTTAGTCAATAACACTAATACAACATTTTTTTCTCGAAAATCTTGTTTCTGATTGTTCTTTTCATTATCTACTGCATTAGCTCATAAGGAATTCTCTTCTTCGCTACAACTTCATCTTTCTTACTTGTTTTCACTCCATATAATGACCAACTCTTCAACTTCTTTTCTTCTTATTTTATCTATCTTCTTGTTATTTTACAAAAATCTATTTGATTATTTCTTCATTTATATCTTCATTCTTTTCTCTTGTTTCTTCTTCATTTTTCACTTTAGTATCACTTCAAAATGTTTTTTCTTTTATATTTTTTCCTTATATTTTACTTACACCTTGTGTTAAATGTTTTCTGTCATTCATTTGTTTTCGGGCAAAATATTTTGAATCAATAAAATAAATTAGTTTTTATTATTATGTTCTTAAAAAAATAACTAAAGAGTTAATTAAGTATTAATAGAACTTGTGTCTGTTGTTCCTGCCTCAGCGGAGACTAATCCCGTCAATGAGTCTTCTTCTTGTAGTGGAACTACATATGTTTTGTTGTGGTAGAATCAGTGTTCCATGACGTCCATCATGTTTTTAATTACAAGGTTTTTAATTTCTTTAGTGATGTCAATTTCAATTTTTAATTCTTTAATTATTTTAATACTTTCCGTATTTTCTAGCCCATTAATCGAAATTACTACTGGAATTATTTTGACATCCTTTAGTTTCTATATTTTCATTAGCCTATTTTTTAATTCCTTATACATATTTCTTTTATTCAAATATATTCCATTAATATTGTGATCTGCTACGATAGTCATATCAATTATTAGACCAGTTTTATTCTTTTTATCTAACATATATATCTGGTATTTTATGATACTGTCCATCACTTTTTGGCATTATTTGTTTGTTCAATATCATAATGATATCAATGCATTAGAACATTGTTTCATATGTTAATTTTTTATATTGTTTATTTCATTTATATTTTCTTATTAACCCCTTCCATATGATGATGCCAATATGGTCATGTTTCTCCATTTGTGATTTTTTATGACAAATACAAGATAATAGAATGTGTTCTATGTGGATATCTTGTATTTATAAAGTGTATAATATTTTAATCATTTTTTAATATTTTATCTTTTCTGTATATATTGAATATTACTTCATCTTGTATTTTAGTTAATTGGAGAAATACATTTTTTAATATTAATTGACTTCCATGTATTGATTATAGTAGTTTTATATACTAATTTGGAATTGAATCATCTTCTAAAATATCCATTTATTTAATTTCAATTTATTGATGTATTTGTTTATTGTTATTTTCTTTATTTTTATTATTATTTATTTTCAATCATTTCTTTTATTATTTATTCTATTTCTATTTCTTTGATTTTATGTTTTATTATTTTTTATTCTATTCCATATTCCTTTCTTGGAATACCATCTATCTAATATATTATTTATTATTTTATTCTTGTACAATATTAACTCTTCTAATTATTTCATTAATATATTCATCATTCATTTTTTATTATTCATTATTTCTTTTATATTGATATATAGACGGTCTATGTTTTCCGTTATATATATAATCTAAATAAAATAAACAAAATACACATCAAACATTTATTTATATTCATATAAATCTAATTATAGAAATATCTAATAATAGTTTTTGTTTTTAAAAAAATTTTGAAAAATGTTATAAGAAAATCAACGATAAATGCAGATAATCTTTAAAAATTGAGAAGTTGATAAAAACTGAATAGTATAAATGGGGTTTTCACCACAAAAATCAACATTAGAATCTTTTTTTCAGATTAGACGAGATAGTAATTCGGATAAAGATATTTCCTATATTCCATTAGCAGAAAGACAACGCCCTAAAAGATTAGAAGATATTATAGGACAAGAAAGTGCAATTGGTATTGGAACACCATTTAATTCAATGATTTTAAATGACAGCCTTCAATCGACTATTTTATTTGGACCACCAGGAAGTGGTAAAACAACAATTGCAAGAATTATTAAAAATATGTCAAATTCGTTCTTTGTTCAAATATCTTCAGTAACAACTTCAAAAGAAGAATTAAAAAATGTTATTGAACAAGCAAAAGAACGAAAAAAAAGAGAGAAAAAAGATACTATTTTATTTGTAGATGAAATTCATACATTAAATAAATTACAACAAGATATCTTTCTTCCTGCAATAGAAAATGGATCAATTATACTTATTGGAGCAACAACAGAAAATCCATCATTTCAATTAAATAATGCGTTAATGAGTCGTTGTAATTTAGTAATTCTTAAAAGACTAGAAAATGAAAGTATTAATAAAATAATAAAAAAAGCAATTAAAGAAGAATACCAAAATAATAAGTTTATTATTGATGAAGCAGGAATTAATATTATTTCAAAATATGCTGATGGAGACGCAAGAAATGGCTTAAATTGTTTAGAATTTATTTTTAATTATTTTAATCATTTAAGTGAAGAAGAATTAAAAGAAATAATTAAAAGTAATGAAAGTGAAAATAATACAATAATAATAGATGAAAATGATTGTACTATATCTAAGAAAAATGAATTGGAAAATACTGAACTTTCATATCAAACAATAGAAGAACCTGAAGTAATTCATATAACACTTACTTCTGAAATTATTTCAAAATTCCTTCAAAAACAAAACTTTCAATATGATAAAAGTGGTGAAGATCATTATAACACTATTAGTGCATTTCATAAAAGTATGAGAGGTGGTGATGAAAATGCTGCAGTATACTGGTTAGGAAGAATGATATTTAGTGGAGAAAATCCAAAGTATGTTGCAAGGAGAATGATTCGATTTGCCACAGAAGATATTGGACTAGCAGACACTAACGCAATGGTAGTAGCAATGAATACATTTCAAGCAGTAGAAATATTAGGATATCCTGATTGTAAAACTGTTCTTGCTGAGTGTTGTTTATATTTAACTCGAGCAAAAAAATCAACAGCAATATATAAAGCTACTTTAACACTTAAAAAAATGGTTAAGGAACAACCTAATTATATTGTTCCTATTAGAGTAAGTACAAGCTCTGAACACCCAACTGAAACAAACCAAATTCAGACATTTCTTCCTGATAAGTTAGCTTTTAATAAAGTAATTGAATATGATAGATTTACTAAACCAATAAATAAAGAAACAATACAACCGTCAACACCTAAATTATTTCATTAAATGTATTAATTCCATTAAATTTATAA